TGCCTCACCTCTAATACCAAGCACTCAAACCATGTCCTCTGAGCTTTCAGAGGACACCTTAACATCCTTTGCGCTTGCGCTGAGCATGCCATGAACGCAGCCCATGTCAGCCGAGCGCTCGCGCCCCTACTACTAGCGCTCGGGCCTGCCCTGAAAATGGGTACTTTGCCCTTTTTGTGCCCTATTTTTGCTCTCTAACACCATTTTTGGCCATTTTGACCTTAATTTCCCTGTCCCAACTCACAAGCATGAAGAAAATGTGAAAATAGAAATAATACATCAATTTATGACTTTGAATCATAACATTTAGTAGAAAATCATTTACATGCTCCAAGTTTCATTAAAATGATACAAAAGAGTACAAGTTATACATATAGACCTTTACAGTCACAACTACATCGCTTTACAAGAGAAGTACATCAATTACATATTGGTTATAAAACTATCGAGGAATGTTCCCGTCAACCTAACTATACTTGTGAGGGTGCATCATCAACTGCATCATCGTCATAACCTGAAAATTGTTAATGGAATGGGTGAGCACGGAGGCTCAGTAGAAGATGCCTAAGGCGCCAACTTTGGACTTCTTTGAGGCACACATCACACATTGGGGATAAAAAAAAAACCGGGATCATACTTTAGGATTCTATCACCTTTACATCACAATGTCAATCCTATCAATGATATTTATACAACATATCATAAAGGTGTATGTAAATACAATGCAATGCACAACTGTCCCCAAACTTGGTCTCTACCGACCCTAACTCACACCAAAAATCACTAACCGAATTTACTGAGGAGAGATTGATTAACTGTCCCTGTTTCCAAATCCGGCAACCATTTGGGCCGTAGTAATCAACTTTTCACGTCCTAAACTGGCACACACTCCCCCTCTAGGTCAAATTAGCATCCGACTCATGAAATCCAATTTATTTTATAAAAACATCATTTCTTTCCCTTTCTCATTCCCTTTTTCCCCACCATGTCATGCACATGCATCAATCTCATTAACATGATTTAAATTTCATCAAAATGTCAGCAATGGCACACACACACGTGACATTCTTTACACTCTAATCGAGACATTACATCTTTCTAGTATTTTGCTACAAGCATGGTGTTTATATAAACCAAAGCAATATAATCATGATAGTACGTGAAGTCATCATAGAATAACACATTTCCCTCGCATAAACATGCTTTGAACATATAAGTGAATAAGTTTTCTCTAGAGTAATATCATACATGCTATGAGCATCAAAAGAAACACAACTACACATCATTTAATAGCATACCTTCTTCACGCTAATACACGGTCAAATGAAATTCACATTTAGAAAGAAATTTCAAATGAATCAATAATAGATACTCAATAAAAGGCAATACACAGGACATTAGAAATCTCTACCTCAAGTGCTAGCCAAACAAGGCCTAAGCCACACCAATTTTGAAAATCCCCAAATGGTAGCAAGATTGGTGACAAAAGATTGCTCTTGATGAGTACTCCGACTTCTCCTTCTTGCTCTTGATGAGTACTCCAACTTCTTCTTCTTGGTGACAAAGGCCTAAAAAATGGGATTAAAGTGTATATACATATGTTTGTAGAGAGATTGAGAAAACTATATAGAGTGAAGAACTTGATGATTGTAGAGAGAGGAATTTTTTGGTCAAGGATAACATCTTCTAAACAAAAACTATGTTTGTGGTTCTCATTTACCCATGTGCTCCAATGGTGGACCCTACCTCAAATGCCAAGTTACCAAGATGCCCATTAATTATCATTCTATCTACAAATATGCCCCAAAAATATCTCCCTAACTATATATATGTATATTTATATGTGTGAGTGAAATGTCTACAATGCCTTTCAATGAAAATGGCAAAACCGAGAGGGGTTACCGAGCTCGAAAATCGTTTCGACTTCCGAAAAATTCTAAAATAAATTACATCACCTTTAATTGACTTAGAATAATAAAAAAATACATTTCTAAAACTCTCAGCTCGAGAAATGACCTAAACGACTCTCAAGGCCCGCATGGCAAATTGACGAGGCACATAAAATAAATAAAATAAAAATTCGGGACATTACAAATTGACTGGGTTGCTGAAGGAAGGGAGATAGAGAGAAATACGAACATCAGCAAACGGCGATGGCTCTGGTTGGTGGTGAACTATAATGACTATTAGGGAGGCTGTGAGTTTAAGTTGGGAGTGAGAGGCTAGAAGCGATGGACGATGAGAGAGAGAATATTAGGGTTCGCAAGAGACCTCTAAATTTTTGCTTTTATTTTTTTGTTTTCCAGAAGAGACATCTGAAATTGAAGTTCCCAATTTCGTTTAGACTTTGGGGCTATTAACTTTCTCAGAGCACGTGGTTGAGAGAGAGAGAGTCTTTAATAGGAGTAATATAATATATATATATATATATATATATATATATATATATATATATATATAATTTGTCACACGGTTTTATGTTATACAATTATATTATTGATAGGAGTAATATAATATATAAATATAATTTGTTAATAGAACCAGTTTGTTTCGGTCCAATTTTGAAGGACTTGGAATCGGAACCAAAATGTAATGCAACGGTTCCACAAATTTGGAACCGGAATCGAAACCGCAGCACCGATTTGGTTCGGTTCCAAACGATTCTTCCGCTGGAAGAATCAAATGAAAAATTGGGTTTGCAAATTGCAAATGAGGCACATGATAATTGTATGAGGTTTAAAAGGGCAGTTTGGTCAATACATAATTATGAGGGCAAATTGGTTAATAAATAATTAAATGGTTGCACATGATTCTTACGTGCTTTTCTTTCGTCAGTTTCAGATTGAAACTAATGAAATTGGGGTGATGTGATAAATTTTTGAAAAGTTAAGGGGGGAATATGATAGTTTCTTTAGATATGGGTCGGGATTAGATGATAGCTTTGACAAACAAGATAAGGGTTTTATGATTTTAACCCGCATATATATATGTGTGTGTGTGTATGTGTGGAAATAGTGGGGGATGATAGTGTCGAGAATGGGTGGTGGTGATGAAGGTGGGTGGTTGGAATGGTAGAGGTACGCGATTGAGGTGGTTGACCAGGGTGGTGGGTGGATTGATGTGTGTATATATAATTGTATAAAAAGAGAGGGTACAGAGAGTAAAAGAGAGAAAATTGGTGGATGGAAAATTTAAAAGTAGCGAGAATAATTTGGACAAAAATAATGTAAGTATTTGGTAATTATTTTAGTTTATTAGATTTTTCACCTTATATTATTTTAATACGTACAATTGTATTTGTAAAACTACACAAACAAGTTGTCGCATTTTAAATTTTTACTCTTTTTTTTTTTTTTTGGGATGTCACAAAATACATATTTTATTCCAAAAAAGAATGTACATTATTTACTATTTTTTTTATAATATTTCCAAACTACCCTTTTAGCATTGACTTGATTAATTAAGTGCACTACCAACTGTACCAAGTACTTATTTCTCTTTTAGTAAGGATAAATTTAAAAATTAATTCTTTTCAATACACTAAAAATGTATTAAAAACCCAACGCCGTAACTCACAAGGCCCAACAATTTTGGGACTGTGGGAGTATATATTTAGTTAAAATATATACTTATCCGGTAAAAATTAACTCAAATTTGCCGGTATTATCAGAGTAGATTGACAAATAAGAGTAAATTTTGAAAAGTGTGAGTATAATTTATTTAATACATTTTTATCTCCACTTCCTCAAATATATACATAAATAATTAATAATAATAAGAGTAATTATATAAAAAATAAAATAAAAAATTGTACAAAAAAGGCATCTCTATAGTTTAGTGTGTATATAAATTTGAAATATTTGAAATTATGTACAAGTTGCCCATTGACTGTAGTTAACTTTGACCAATTTTTTATTTATTAAAATACCATTAGACAGATAATATTCAATGTTTTTCATTCAGTTTTAAAATTAACAAAATATTCTTATTTACTAAATTTAAAAATGACAATTTTTTTAATTATTTTTTTTAAAGCTTTAACCTAACCTAAAAATACTGTAATGTTCAATTGCTCCTGCGAGCAAGAAGTTATATACTCACTATTAATTGTAGCCTTAGAATTTAATCATACGATAATTAGTTTATTGACTTTTATTATCTTTATTTGAAGAAACTTACATTTTCTTTTCATACCATTAAATATCGTTAAAGAAAAATGATAAAATTAGACAATTTATTAAAGGAAACAAAAATAAAATAATTTGGCTACTTTTTGCTAAATTCGCAACCAGCCACTAGGACGAAATAAAATTAATCTAAAATTAAAAGTCATCATTTTTAGTTTTTTTCTACACTTTATCAATTCTTTTGATAAATTATGAAAAAATTTAGGATTTGCAATGATATTATACATATTTTGGCATGCTTTTACGGATCTAACACTTTGAACATTTAGTTTATGAAAAAATATAAAAAATAAAAAAACACTGAGAACATTTAAATGGATATATAATAATATATTAAGAGTTGTTTCGCATGATCTTTCTAAAAAAATTTTGAAGCCAATTGTAATATCTTAATTCTAAATTAGTTGCTGAATAAATTCAAAATATTTTACTGAGTTGTGTATAAAACATGGATCAATCTTGAAATTTGAGTTTTGATTATAATTAATATTTCTTAAGTAATCTTTATTTAATGGCCATTTTATTTATCCCTTTTGATTAATTTATTTATTTATTTTTGTTGCTGATTGCAAATATGTTGAATAAAGAATCGGTAGTGATGTTATTTTATTTTTGTTTTCCTTAATAAATTGTTTAATTCTATCATTTTTCTTTAACGATATTTAATGTTATAGAAATAAAATATAAGTTTCTTAAAATAAAAAAAAAAAATAAAAGTTAATTAAGTAATTGTTATAGAATTAAATTCCAAAGTTACAATTAAACATGAGTGTATAATTTCTTGCTCCAGGCAGCAATTATACCTAAAAATAATAATAGATTGTGATGAGAAGTCAGAACCATCGTAATTGATGTTTATTGTTTTGAAGTTTAATGGCATCTTCGTAGTTTCTACCCGTCCAAATGAAACAAATAGATGGAGTCAACAGAAACCCGTGATGTAGTATCAAAAGTGTAGAGCAGAAAAGGGAGATCAGATCAAAACAATTCACCAAAACCAAAAAGGTTTCATTCAAAATCATCAAACAGAGTGAAACAAGAAAGGAATCTTCGATTTTATTTGTTTATTTTTAATCTAATTCCAGAGGACAAGATAGAGAATCAATCAAGATTTGAAGGAGTAAACTAATATATACACATATATATATATAAAGAGAGAGAAAGAGAGGAAATTTGGTATTTGGTTGATGGTCTTTATGGGTGCGGCGGGTTCGAGGCTGGAGAAAGCTCTGGGCGATCAGTTTCCAGAAGGCGAGCGATACTTTGGACTCGAGAACTTCGGCAACACTTGCTACTGCAACAGTGTCTTGCAGGTTCTTCTTCCTCTCTTTGTTTTGATTTTGATTTCCCTTTTAGTTTTGGAGCTATTTTTTCATGTGGTTATCAATTCATGGTAGATGTTTGATTTTTTTAATTTTATTTTTCTTACTGGGTTTCGTAGCAAATTAAATATCAATAGTAGGTTCCTTTAGTTTTTGATGATCAGAACTCTACATGATTGATAGTGCTCTGTTGATTAATTTCCATTTCTGTATCCGTGTCAAACTTGTAACGGTAATTGATATATATATATACACACACACACTCACACTAGTCAATATGTATGTATATATATATATATATATAAAGGGCTAGCCCAGCTCACAAGCTACTGTCATTGTCAGGTCTCGGGAAGATTTGATGTACACAGCCTTACCGAGGCTGTTTACTGTTTCAAATTAGGGACTCTAGGTCACAATAGAGCAACCTCACTATTGTGCCAAGCCCCGCCCCACCCTCATCCGCATATCATATATGTGTTCTATGTAATTTACACAATTCGAAAGCCTGCGTGAACCTTTGCATTCAATGGGTATTGAGTTGGCTATCACACTCACTAACCAATGGTATTTTATCAATCTGCCAGTTTCTGGTTTTGGTGGTTGGGACTAATTAGCTACCTAGCTGAAAATAGCATCCATTGGGCACGAGTCTATGATCTCCTCTCAGCTAAACTTGTTTCTTTTTTATCTTTTGATTTTAATGATAGTTTCCAATTGATTCTGTAGTATGAATTGAAATCTACTATGTTTGGTTTTGACCAAGTCTATTAGGTCTGTCACTTCCACTTTGGTTTTATGTTTTCTTTTTTCCAGCAATATTGAGAGTTGGTGGTTTGACACCTCTGTTGCATTTACAAGATCTGTATTTTTTCAAACTGCAAATGCTACATTTTTGTTAATCTAGGCGATAATTTCACCTGGGCAAAGATGTTTGACACCTTGAAGTTGACAATCACGAGTTATTGATTTAATAAGTATTTATAGTGGGACAATCAATGCGTAGCACATGCTGATTAAATATCTTTGTGATGGGTGGGCAGTCTCAATCATTTCTTAAATTCTGACCTGCTGAATTTCTTTGTTTGAACAACTAGTATGACATGATTATGAAAAAAAATACACAATTAAGTTATTTACAAGAGATTTGTACAAGAGTATTTTCATTAGTTGTCGCAGGACTCCCAGGACTGATGTTTCTTTCCTACAATCTTCAATGAAGGATATATTAGCGAACAAGGAAGAGGTTGTTGAATCCTGAAACAAACTCCTCCAAGCCTTGTGTGAGGGAGACTTTAGGGATAGTAGTAGCTGCCTTTTGCTGTGAGGAGGAGGAACCCTCTCCACCTCCATCACTGCTTCTTCCCCACACAAACGCTAGCTTACTATCAAAAACCCCTAATCACCCTTCTGAAAGATGTCCCACAATGACTAATGAAAAAGATGTCCAATACCAGCCCACCCTTTTTGGGAACCTAAGCCGCAATTATTGCCAATGATCTAGTGAAATCACAGTAAAGTCTGGCATGAGGGATCTTTTCTACATCAATGAGCCAAAGTTTTACCCTCTAACCAACTTTCCCACAAACTTGATTTTTCACCCTACTACTTTCAACCAATAAAAGAGATAATGCATAAGGTTATCATCCTTAGTGGGAAACTCACTTATGTTTTGCAAACATTAGGCAAATGATGTGTTTAATATGAATGATGGATGGATCAAAAGTTTGTGTGCCAATCAAAGAACATTGTGATGTGGGTTGGCTTGCTAGTTTTTATGAAGCAAACCATCTATACTATTAATATATTGCTACCATTCACATATATGGAGGCCTTATGGGAGGTTTGAGGGATGAAGTTAAAAGTTACTATAACCATATATGAGATGGTAGAAGTAGCACTAATTGGAGATTAAATGAGAGAAAATTGATATAGATGGCGTGGCCATATGCGGTGATGCCCAGTAATTGCGCCGTGAGAAAGAGTGGCACTGTCATTGAGAGTAATGTTTAGGGAAGGGGAAGAACAAAACTAGCATGATTGAGATAGCTAGGAAAAATATGATAGTATACAGTTTAACTGAGGTTAGAACCTTGAATAAAGCAGAATGACGAAACAAGTTCCTGCAACTGACCCCAGGTTCCTTACCTTCAATACTTGTTATTTAATGGTGGCATGGAAGACAAATGAACCACTTGTGGACCTAGACATTAGTGCCCTATTTGAAACATGTGGAACCAAGTTTTATCAAGACATTACAAAATTTCATTGTTACATTATCCTGTTAAGGTGCAGTCTTAAATTTTCAGTAAGATAGCTTTGTTGTTGTGCATTTCTGTATTTGCTAGTTGACTACTTGGGTAGCATTTTTTATTTGGTTTGGGAGCAAATCTGAAAGTAATTGTTACTGTTGTAAGAAAGAAAAAATACTTCAAAATACTAACCACACAAAATTAAGGTTTTGTTGCAAGCAGGATTTTCCTGTCAGTGTGCTGCCTACTGTTCATTTTCAATTTTGGTTATTTTTTGCAGGCTCTTTATTTCTGTGTTCCATTTCGTGAAGATTTACTGGAGTACTACGGGAAAAATAAAAATCCAGGGGATGCAGAAGAAAATCTTCTTACGTGTTTGGCAGAATTATTTACGCAGGTAGTAAAATTAGAGGTTCTTTCTCTTCATGGCGGAGGTGCATCCCTGATAGGTTTCTACATGTATCTTCTAATATGTTCTCACAAATGCCTTCACCAAATGGACAACCCTATTTAACCCAAGAGGATAAAGGAAGATTTCGGCCATAACAACACCTACCAATATTTCCTCCCACCTTCTTTTCAACTCACCTCTCTCTTTTAAATACAAACTTGCACGTTTTCCCTTTTGGCTTATAATATGAGGTTCAACCTCTCTATGAATCTGTGGGAAAACTGAAGTGCTCTAAAGATAATGGAGGAATGACATTATTTTTCTTACTTTTGATCATGACAATTAGTTTGACATTATGTGGGCATGGACTTATAGGTTGCTCTTTGTGCAGATAAGTTCACAGAAAAAGAAAACAGGTGTAATTGCTCCAAAACGCTTTGTACATAGACTGAAGAAACAAAATGAGCTTTTCCGCGGTTATATGCATCAGGTATGATTTCAGCATTGATATTTTTTTCTGTTTGTATCGAGACAAGAAAAAGCTTCCTTGAAAATAATGAAACTTGGCCAACAAAACAACAAATCTTATCCTATGACACGTGGCTTCCCTTTAATTTTGCAATTCTGCGTGGGATATAGAGAGAGACATGCTGTAAATGAAAGAGAAATAACAAGAAACACCAATATTATCAAGGGGAACGACGATGAAATGATTTTTAGAGATACAGTAGTATCTGAGAGACTTTGTATACTGATATTTCATAACAGAACTTCAATAAGCTCTGTCTACAATCATTTTAAGCACCATGTAGTTTTAATAGCTTCTTAAAGAATAGAATCTATGTAGCATCTACAATCTTAGAACATGGAAAAGGCACAACAGACAGCAAATTCTGTTCTTTTTTACTGAACTGGTTTTGATTATTGGAATTCCTGGGATTTCAAGACCGTGATCTGCCATTCCTTCATCTGAATCCTTCATGCTTGCCTGGTTCTGATCTTGTTTGCTAAATTAAAAACTAAGTAGGTGAGTGAGGATCGAAGTTCTTGGTAATTAGCAAGGGGAAAGGAAGATATCCCTCAGTCACAGCCACGTACTATTCCAAAAAGTGCCATCTTTGATCAATGGCCCATCACAATAAAAGATGGAGTCCAATCCCCTTTCTGTTTTAGGAAGCCCCAAAGCAAATCCATGCTCACATTAACTTAGCCCCTGCAGTAGGTAGACGCATGTACATCCTGTATCAATTGATTCCTTTTTCCAAATTGACATGTTGTAGACCTTCTCACTAATTTGTCCTCATCATTGTAGATCTTCGACCAATAATACAATCTGCCATCACAACTACCATCAGGTTTTCAAATTATTTGCTTACTAAGAGAACTTGCCTGAAATGCTCAACTTGTTTTCCCTAAACACATGAGCAGTGGGTAAAGCTTCTTCCCTGTCTCGCGATGTTCGCTATGTTTGTATGCATAACTTGCTTCAACAAATGGAATCTTTCGTAAAACTCCACATATTCTACACGTAAATGATAATTGCACCAACGGATGGATTCGTGTTCAGTAACACAATTCTAATGTCCTATAGGCTTATGAATAGGTTTACTTTCTTATTCTTGACTAATTTTTCTAGGTTGTTTACGCGGGTAATTTTTTGATTAGTTACCAATCAATAAAGCAACCATTCACAATTGTGAATGCAAGAACAAAAATAAAAGCAAGTAGAGGGACAAAAAGCACCAGATTTTTTACATGTACAAACCCAAGGGGAAAAAACCAGGGGACCTACATAGTCCAGAGCAAAACAATCCACGATCTGAAGAAAAACGTACACCTTAACTTTGACTTAGCCTAATTCTACAAATATCCTTCACCAAGACATGAAGAATAAGTGTCATAGACTTATGCCTAGTTACACCACTTGAAACCACAGTTATGACGAGCCTTGTAATAACCCACTATGATTTACTTCCACTATGTTTGCTACTCCAGGCACGGACTATCAACACAGTTGTTTTACGCAAAGTGATCCGTCTTTCTCTAAGCAATTCAAATTGTTCTCCATCTTCAAAGAAACGGTTTTGATTGGTGAATTTTCGATTGAGTTCTGTTTAGTGAAGTTCTTTAGCTCACAATTCAATCACAAACAAGAATAGGGTGGTTCTAAGACAAACTCACACTGTGCTTTTGAAGAAAACATTGAAGATTATTGTGAAAAACTATTGTTTTGATAATCCCAATTAACTCTCTTTATTCTTTGGGTTTTCCAGTCTTTGTAGACAGATCTATATAGACCCTAGGTTGTAAAAAACAATTTAGAGCTTGAATTGAAATTAAAGTCCTAAACCAATTGGGAAACTGATTCAATGTACTGGTGCACTAAATTTTTGATGTACCACTGCATTGAGCTCACTTTCATCTTATGTACTGGTACATTGAAATATGTTTGATTAGTGCATAAGAATACCTCCTCAAGAGGAAACATAAACTTTGGATTTCTTACGTTTCCTTATCTTGTGGTTCCATCATTTACATGGCTTTCTGCTATGTGCATTTATCTAGTGAGTAATGTCTGTTATAATCCTCAGTCCCCTTTATCTATTTTCTCAGAGACCATTGATGTTCATGTGTTTTTGTGTAGGATGCCCATGAGTTTCTGAACTTCTTGTTAAATGAACTTGTTGACATACTGGAGAAAGAGTCCCGTGCAGCAACAAGTTCACCAGAAACTTCTTCACCTTCTGAAAAGATCACAAATGGGCCAAGGAATGATCAGGTCAATGGCGTTAAGAAAGAGCCATTAGTTACCTGGGTTCACAAAAATTTTCAGGTGAAATTACTGACATTTATGGCTTCTACTGTCTATCAAATGTATACTTCATGTGTACTACTCTGATTTGTGTTATTTGGATCCATCCTTGCATCTGGGCTGCTAATCGCTGAATGGGGTGATATTTGTCTTAGATTTCACTGTTTTGGACAGTGGATGTTACAATGTCCAATATTTGGGACAATATATGCTTGGAGTTTGTCAGTAGCTTTTTTGATGTGATAACTCTGTAGTGATTAAGTTTTTTAATGATGTTTGTTTGCTTATGTTTATGTGATTGCTATTGATACATATAAAAATGCAGGGTATACTTACGAATGAGACAAAATGCCTAAGGTGTGAGACAGTGACAGCAAGGGACGAGACCTTCTTAGATTTGAGCCTTGACATTGAACAGAACAGTTCAATTACAAGTTGCCTTAAAAATTTCAGTTCCACGGAAACTCTGAATGCTGAAGATAAATTCTTCTGCGACAAGTGCTGCAGGTTGATATCTTGGCATTGCCCTTTCAGTTCAATCAACAAGTCGCAAGATTAAATTTTGATTCTTGTGCTAATGCAGTTTGCAGGAAGCCCAGAAGAGGATGAAGATAAAAAAACCACCTCACATTCTGGTTATTCATCTGAAGCGATTCAAGTACATGGAACAACTCAGTCGGTACAAGAAATTGTCATACCGTGTTGTGTTCCCACTGGAGCTGAAACTGTGCAACACCGTGGAAGATACCGACTCCGAGTACTCCTTATTCGCCATTGTTATTCACGTTGGTACTGGACCAAACCATGGTCACTATGTTAGCCTCGTGAAAAGCCATAACCACTGGTTGTTCTTTGATGATGACAATGTAGAAATGATTGACGAGTCTGCAGTTCAAACTGTCTTCGGATCTGCTCAGGAGTATTCACGCAATACAGAACACGGGTACATCCTCTTTTATGAGAGCCTTGCTACCGGTGTCAATAGCTGATAAAATTAAGGCATTACATTTATGATGTTACTCTTTAACCTCTTAAGTGGTGGAGGAGGGCATTTTTTCTATCCTCTACTTGTTTTGTTTGTTATACGTTCTCTTGGATTAACATGTTGGACTATATCAGAAATCTTCTGATGGTTTTCGTGTATAGTGTGGATGTTGAAAGTACACTGACCTGTTGTTTGTTTTAACAATGCGTGTAATTATGACAAAACAGTCTCAGAAACTGTTTTTCAAACTTTCAAAAAGTTTAGTATATAATATAGAAATCAATATGATTGCGCCAACCTTAGCTCGTGTTATATTTATCTTTCTAGTCCCATTTTTATGTATTTGAATCAGGACTTGACATCAGGGAAAAAAAAAATAAATAAAAAAATAAAAAATAAAAAATCAGGATTTGACATCAGAGTTTGTCATATTTACTGGTGAAGAGGTGTGCCAGAGGCTTAGGGATGATAATTCTTGAAGGTGCCATTTCATGTTTTTTTTTTGTATTTTCTAAGAGTGAGAAATTGGAAAAATTATAATTATTGAACTTCGAGCTGTGGTTGAACTTGGTTCGAGCTTTATTCATCGAGTGGCTAACAAAATTCCTTGTATTAAAGTAGCAAATTCGAGCATGTCAATAATTTGTTCCGTTTGAGGGCAAAACTTTTGAAAAAAGAGATTTAAGGAAACAAGTGTGGGCCTGTTTGGTTTGTAATTTTGAAAACGGGTTTTCAGAAACTCAAAGAATAGTTTTCACATAACAATAAAAGACTGTTATCTGAAAACAGGCTGGTACATCACCAATCAAATCAACCACTTAAAGTTTCAATTAAATCACAGTTTTCTGAAAACAAACTGAACCAAGTAGAGTTTTTTGTGCAGTTTTTAGTTTTTTGATAACAAAAAACCGTTTCTATAGTTACAAACCAAACAGGCCCAGTTTTTGGTTCTCGTGTGATCTAAGTATAAATCTAATCCATTTTGTTTTCTAAATAATATTTGATAACTCAATTAAATACTTAATTAAATGTAATATGGATAAAACATAAAAGAATAAATTACTTAAAATTTAAAGTTAGATACCATTAAAAAAAATAATAATAATAAATAAGTGTGGACGGTTTTAGTACCACTCAACACCCAAATAACAATAATTAATAGCAATTTAATTTTTTAGTTTAATTAGACAGCAACAAGTCTTCAATTAGCATGATTTGTAAGAGTATTATGTAATCCACGTTATATGTCATTTTCCATTTTCAGAATGTTAGCATGAAGGACTTGCGAAAACGTAAATTGTGTGCATCTTTACATTCTAGACTTGTATAAATGGGACTTTTTTCTAATCCTATACAAAGAGGTGATAAGCCCTTCATTGTAACTAAGTTTTCAAACAATGTAAAACTTTTAATTTTGGAAAATTTCTTTTACGTTGTACCGTTATACAAGTCTCCTTAAAATTAAAAATATTGTAGGAAGAAAATGTTCACAATACAGGAATACATATTATATGTATACTATATGTATATAGTATAGAGATATATACATACAAAGAAGGTACTACTACGCATGGACATGATCAACTCCAGTATTCTCATCATGAATTTGAGAAACAATGTTAGTGAAATATGGAGGGTTGCAAGTCCCTATGAGACAAATAGAGGTATGTGGATTTAATTAATGTCAAATATATATATATATATATATATAAATCTGGCTTCTTAAAAAAAAACCTAAAAGTGAATAACTTTTTTCACCAAATCAACAGTATTCTTTTCTTTTTTTTCAAAAAAAAAAAAAAACAATATTCCTTTTTCTTTTTCTTTCAAAAAATGGCTAGAATAACCTTTTTAGCCTTCGGTTTTGTGCCATCCATTGTTGGAAAACCACTCCTTTTAATGCAGTGTTAGTCTGTCACCAAACTTCCCTTCACTGAAACTAGGCTCGCAGCCAAAAAAATACCTTTATGGCATTCATTAGGAGTGTATAACTTTCTATACATTTTAAAAAGTCCCTAACATTCAATTTTAGAACAAACAGAAACCTGAATGTTTTAAAAAGCTAAAGTGTCCCTCTATAAAGTATATATAGTATATAACAACCTATACGTTCTAAAAAATGTGGCAAAGAAGGGTTTGATATTATTGTTTCGTGCAAATAATGATCTGAATGTTAAAAATACTAAGAAAGAGATAAGGGAATTTTTTTAAAAAAAATTATCTTAAAAATGTCATGTGCAATGCACATGAATAAGTTTTTAACGAAACAATAATATCAAACCCTTCTTTGCCATATTTTTTCAAACTCAACAGACTAATAAAGGATATGGGTGTAATTTTAAAATAGAAACATTAGGGGTGTTTTTATCACTTTGTCCTCGTAAGGGTATTATAGGAAGAGAAAATAATGTTTTCGAAATTTTATATCTTAACAGTGACTTCGAATTTTTTTTTGTTTATTTTTTTAAACTTAACAAAGTTATATATTCAAAATAAACAATAAGAGTGTTATTTGCCTAAAATTAAAATATTAAGAGGGTTTTTCTAATTTTAACAAACTGCTTTTTAAACTTTAAAAAATTTAGTATATAATATAAAAAGTACTTAATATCTTATCCACGCTCAAACTTGAACCTTGTATTTATTGTTTTTGAATCAGGACTTGACGTCATAGCTGGTCTATTTACCGGTGAAGAGGTGTACCAGAGGCTTATTGATGATAATTATTGAAGGTGTCATTTCATGTTTTTATTTATTTATTTATTATTTATTATTTTTGTGAAATTGAAGCATTGAAATTAAAATTGGTGAAATTTTATGAGACTGTATTTGGCGACGTGGAATTGAAAAAAAAATTGGTTCAATTTTTTGAGTTGCTTTTCTTCAATACTACCAATTTCAATTCTAAAACTTCAATTTCATATCTACCAAATATAACTTAAGAGTAAAAAAATAAAATTCTAAATTTTCAATGCATTAGTTCTCCAAGTTCTATGGCAATTTGTGGAAAATTCTTAAGCCTTTGTCAGAGTTTCACCATTTAAATTTCATGAAGATCTAACAAATTATTGCATTTGACAAGGATGGATTAATTGTGGTACACAAAACTAATTATCCAGTTTGGCAACTATAGTTGTTTTGTGTTTTTGTTTTGAGTGTGTTCAACACGATTTAGAAACTTGTTTAACAACGTAAATTTATTATAAGATTTTTAAAAGCAAAAACATGAAAACATGTTTTGTAAAAAGTGTTTCAAGTTTGAAACTTTAAATGGTTAATTAGAAATGTTATTTTAGATATATATATATTTTTTTGGAACAGTGTTTTGATATAGTGCGAAAGCAAACAAAAACATCAATTTGATGATTCCGATTTTGGCCTCAATTTTGAAAATACTTCGGTACTATTTAAATGACAGCAAATATTATCAAATATGCTTTGTGTTATTGCTTCACTACATTACACTAGCCAAACATTGTCCTTACCTAGTTAAAAACAAAAAACACAAAACAAAACACTAGCCAAACAGTGTCATTAGTTAAAGTATTTCGGTTTGGAAACCATTTAAAAGAATAAGTCGCTTCAAATTTTAAGTGAAGTATTTTTGGCTGAAGACTTAAATTTAAACAAGTACACAAATAAAATAAAATTAAAAATATCAAACCAATTAAAATTTAAGTGTTTAAAATTTTTATTACATAAATTTTTATTTTATTAAACAACTAAATCTTTTGTATATATGTACATCATGAAAACATAAATAATATTTATACACACAAGAAATCGAATTTAACGGGTTTAAAAAAACATATGAAAGCCTACATATCTTTACTATTCTAGATTGTCGTATTCTTGTATATATCGACTTGCATATTGAATAGTTTAGACGAAAAAAATATATATATTGAATAGTTTAGGATTATAAAATCCCTTATAAATATGTTAAATAGTTTATAAAATATTTTAGAAACTATATACAGTAAGTTTTAATTTTTGTAGCACTTGTAAAAATGATTCATTGTGAAGTTACAGTCCTATTACACCAACTTGTTAAACATTCTTGAATTAGAGATTAATTATATACTCAAAATGAAACAAATTTGTTTAACCAAATGAAATAAAGCTAGTGTACTTAAAAATTGGATTTTTTTTTTTGGTTTTCACGTGTTAAAGTAAATATTGTAAAATAAAAATAGATTATATTAAATTCTCAAATAGTGTAGGTAATTTAAGACATTTACTCATGTAGTATGCATTCAAAATAATCTTGAGTCAGTACTTTAAATGAAAAGTTGTCTTGTGTGTGTTACGGTGATTTTCATTTGTTTTTGTTTTTTATTTTTTTTAAAGTCAGTACTTATAAATATATTTATTTTTTTATTATCAGTATTTATTTTCATTCGGTTGTTAATTTGATACACTGTGACTAATAAAAAAGTAATTGAAAATTTTTAAAGGCAACTTAATAATCTGAAAATGCATTCAATATTTTTTTTTTTTTTTTTTTTTTTTTTTTAAGATTTTTGGCTCCAATCCCTATCACCAAACAATATTACACCTTTAATCATCTCGAGGGATAGAGAAATTTGATGTTAATAAATTCATACTAATTTAACAAATTGCTTCTTGCATTTATTTACTTCATCGTCTTTATAAAATGCTCATTGCCATTATTGACTTCATCTAGTGTTTAACAAACTAACAACATATGTTTCAAGTGATTTGTAGTAAATTTAGATGTCTTGAATTCAACTCTCACAATATACAAAAATATCTGAATTTTAATAAAGATTTAAGTAAGGTATGTAATTTGGTGGTGATTGCGTATAACTGAATTTGCTAATACAATTCGGATACGACACAAAGCGTCGCTAGTTTGAGTTAACTTTAATCGTGTCAACCCCTTTAACCCGATTAAAACCATTTAATTAATGGTGTCATTTTTGTAACTTGTTTTAACCCCAAAAAACCTATTTACATTTTTGTTATTTCAATATAAACCCAGTATGAACATTATATTTTTCCCTTTTTGGTAATTATATTGTCCAAAGTATCCTCATTTTCATAATTTTAGTAATTTATTATGTTATTTTTCAATTATATTTGTATTTTATGCTAAAAGTTAATAAACGGGTTACATGATTGATTTAATTATAAACATCTAATTAAATAAGTTAATAATCAGTTCAGTTTGTTAGTTGCAT